AGGTTCCCATATTAGTGTCCTTTCATAGTCCCTAGTACAGCCTTACCGTAGCTATTGACGTAGAATGCCAACATCCTCGCCCTAAGCCCTAAACCCTAAACCCTACACCCTAAACCCTAAACCCTAAACCCAGGCGTTGGCTCTCAGTTTGCTGTGTAGTTTCCCTAGTGGTCCACAGCTCTGAGCCGACCCCGCGCGGCCCTCACGAGGCGCCCCCAACCCTTTTCTTGGAAGGCTTTCGCTGCCTAGTGCCGACTGCCGATCCTGGGTATTTATATCTCCTCCTGCGCACGCTGCCTTGGGCCGTCGACTGGAGCGAGCTCCCACTCCCTGCATCTGCTTCTGTAGCTGTGTATGAGGTTGTGGCTTACAGTATTCTGCTTTTTCTTTCTGGCAAAACACGAAGAGTGTGAAGCGGCCGGAACGAGAACCGGCCTGGCACCGAAGGAAGCGGAGAGCGAGAACCAGAGCGCGTACATTGGTTCGAGCGGCGGATTCTCAGTGGATACATCCGCCGGCTTATCTGCTCCGAAGTGCAAGAAGGCTGTTGCGAAGCCATCATTCTGCGAGGGGCAGGATGGCGGACAAGCAGCCCTGGAGATGCCAGTGTGGAGGCCTGGTAAAGGCCAACGCTCATTTTTGCGGACAGTGTGGATCTCCGTGGTCCTACTCTGCCCCGTCGGGCCGGACCCCCTGGAACAACAAGTGGCAGGAAGGTTCGTGGCCCAGACAGCCTTCACCCCGACGCCGACAAGCCGAAGAGTGGAGCAAAGGTGGTTCCAAGGGCAAAATGCCACGTTCGCCGCGGCGCAGACCTGGCAAGGAAGGCAAAGATGGTGGCAAGGGTCAGCCCAAGGGACAGACGCCCAAGGCCACGCCTACACCGAGTGCACCATCGACCACGAGCTTGCCCAAACCACCTGCGCCGGCCCCACCTGCGGTGCCGAAAGAGCCAGCTACAGCTCAGAACAGTGGGGGAAGTGTGGATTCAACACTTCAGACCCTGCTGGCGGCGCTCAGTCAGAGCAGAGACGACCTCCCGCAGAATGTGCGAGACATGATCGATACACACGCCGCTGCGGATCACAAAGCTCACGCCAAGAGCATGCATCGTCTGGTGGCATTGCAGAGCTCCGCACGGAGAGAGTTGGCGGCTACCAGAGCTTCCCGGCAAGACTACATCAAGGAATGGTGTGGATACGTCGAAGGCCTCTGCAAGCTATGGGAACAGCATGTAGAGGAAAAGGCTCTGACTCTTTCCAAGTTCGAGGAGGCCGAGCAGCAATGGGAACGTCAACTGAGCGAAGCTACTCAACAGTTGGCGAGTTTGGCAGTGGAAGCCCCTGCAGAGGGGAGCGAGGCTATCGATGTCGACGCCATGGACGAGCAGGAGGCCATGGTGGACGAAGCGGCTCGCCAAGAGGTGAAGCAGCAAATGGTCCTTCAGAAGATGAAAGAGACAGAACAGCGTGTTTCCGAAGGCCTACGGGAGGCTTGCCAATCGGCCGTCCAACAGGCCGCCGAGCTAATGGGCGACAGGGAAAGGTCGCCACGGAGGCGGTCAGGCATTGGGGCCACCGCCAACAAAAGCAAGCAAACTGCTGTGGACACCGCTGTCAAAGCCGAGGGCGCAGGGGAGAAAGAGAAACCTCCCCCTCCCTAGGCCCCACAACGAGCCGCATGGGACTTGTGGGGCATGCGCAGGACCCCTTTCGAGGAGACCTGCTTCCCAGGCACTCGGTGAGCCTGGAGGAATGCTATGTTTGTCCACGAATGGCACAGATTTATGGTCTGCGCCAGCACCACGAAGCTACACTGGAGGAACTGGGCCTTGTCAGTGGATGGACCATTGACAAGAGGCAGCACTTCTGTGTTAGCCGTCACAATATTTTTCCAGTGGGTTGGAGTAGGGACTCTGAACCTGCATATGACCGGCCTCGAGCTCTACCAGGCCGGGAGGAGCCCGACAAAGTCAAGACCGAGGCGAGCCTTACTTCTTGCATGCATCGACGTAAGCATCCCTTTGCAATGCGAGTTGTATTCGAGCCTGACGAAAGCCATGGGCCGTCAGGTCGATGGGCCCGAGCTCATGCCCAGCTGTTGAAGGTTGCCTGGCCGTTCAGTGAGTCAGTCGACGACGGGGCTGCATCAGCAGGGCATGACCATTGTTTTGACTCAGGGTTGAACAAGCGTGTCGATCGATGTTTCCAGACTCCCTCCTTCATGGGTGGATGGGAGGTTGAGCCTGATGTGCCTCGGTCGCTCGCTGATCTCAATGCTGGGTCTGACACTGGTCAGGAGCTGCTTGATGCGGATGAGAGTAAAAGTAGGCCGCAGAGTGTGTACATAGAGCATGTTTCTTCCACTCTTTTTCAGGTGTCCGGGCCTTCTTCTGTACAGATGGTCACCCGGGAGAATCAGAGCGAGCAACAACCCTTCGATGCCTTGTCGCAGCAGTTGCGGTCGCAGGCCAGCACTGCACATGTTCCTCATGTGAACTTTTCGGGTTCCATTCAACGGCCCATCGCTCCCGCTGCCAAGGTTCCAACACCTGTCAAGTGGCCCTCCACCATCGCATACATGCGGGCCGAAAGAGTGACTTACGTGCCCGACAGCATCGACTATACCATGCTTACATGGCCTATGCCCAGCTTACCGTCAGCCTGGCAGAGCACCAAAGACGAGGCTGGGGCTCGCAAATTCACCGTGCTGGAGGCAGGGGTTCGCCCAATCCGTCTATGCGGTGAAGAATGGACGCTGCATGATATTGTCACAGATGCAGTAGCTAGTGCTCTGCAGCCTATCCGTTCAGTTCAGATTATCGAGCGCCCCCTTACTGGGCTGCCGCGCCCGCAAATCGTCCTAACACATGCCAGTGCGGATCCACAGGCTCTGGCTGTGCCCCTGGATTTCCGTCGCACTCATGGATGGATCATCACTTCACATATCCTCCCTGCGACCACGCTAGACGAAATGCCAGCACTTGGTCCTGCGGGTGCACCTCGTCCCGTGCATCTCGATTATCAGCAAGGACCCTTTGTTGCTTTGACGGACTCTGCGGGCAATCGGCATGAGACCATTTCGGCGCCGCTTGACAGATATGAATGGTTCACTCCTGTCTTCGGTGCACCCGCCGATGGTTCTGCCTTTTCGTCATATACGGCATCTACTACGAGCACCACCACCACTACCACGACAACTCCCTTCGACCAGTGTCTCTTTCGGCGTCCTGTGCTTGTGCCAGGGGTCTTGGAACAGGCAGAAATTTTGCCTACTGGTGTGCTGACTTCACCAGGAGCCCACATCCCAATCGCCGAACTTGGTCTGTTCCAGCTTGTTACCCGCGGTTCTGCGGGATGCACGCCTTTTCTTTTCATGGTCCGGGGGTGCGAGCCAGTTCGGCTCGATGGCTCTCGTACTTGGACACTGCTGGACTTCTGTGCTGCGGCGGCTTCCAATGCTGAATGCATTCCACGAAGGTTGCAGGTTTTGACCTCTCCAATCCCGGATCTGCTGCAGCCCCAGATAGTCGTCACAGATCGTTCAGATGACCTGGAATCGGTCCTTCTGCCTGTCGACATGCGAGCTGCTCCTGGGGGAGTTGTTTTGCCCGTGCTTCTTCGGCACGGAATGTCCGCCTCGGATGTCGTCGACGCCATCGTTGCGGAGATCCCTGATAGCAGTGCCTTCTTTGCAGATGCCTCTGTTGGCACGGATTTCTTCTTCCAGGACGCCGCGGGTTTTGTGTGGAATCAACTGCCAGGTCATCTTCAGGCGATTCAATGGTTGGCCTTGAGAAGGGGTGCTCCCCCGATTGTCCGGCCTCCAGGTGCTCCTGTTTCCACCATTACCACCACTGCAGGACCAGACTGGGACGATGTGCGATCAAAGGTTTTCGACCAGTCGTCGGCTCTGTATACTGCCGACTTGACATTTGCTCTGCCGCCTCCACCTTTGCCAGCTGCGATAAGTGGACAGTTTGCCGATCGATCTGGCAAGGTGCCTGCTTGTGAGGCACCTTGTCACGCGAAGGTTTCTTTGGTTGAGGTGACCGCGAGCTCTAAGGCGCCTAGCGGGCCTGGTCCTGTTAGCGTTCCTCCGGAAGGCCCACCCCCTGACCCAGATAGGGACCCGCGCACACCACCAGGTACGGCACGAGGGCCCTCTTCTAGTCGACCTAGCAACGCCGATATGATACGAGCTGCTCAGATTCGTGTCCTACCGGCTGAGGTCGCTGAAGCTGCTGTCTACATTGCCCCAGTTGGCGCTTTCTCCTGGTCGAGTGCCTCACAGGGTCCTCACACAGGTGCCTTTTCTGTTTTCGATGCCCGTCGACATCATACCGTTGACCGGGCATATGCACAGGCCTCATTGCAGGAGATTGTTGCCCTGGCAGTTGCTCATGCGCCTTTTCAGATTGCTGCTGTTCAAATCCTGACCCAGCCTGTTCAGGGGCTACCTCAGCCCCAGCTCGTCCTGAAGGAGGCGGGACGACCGCCGCAAGAGTTTCCGCTGGTATGGGACCTTAGGGGAATCCAGGAACCTGTGCTTACCAGTCGACATCTCTCCCGCGAGCTGCGAGATGAAGCGCTGCAGAAGCTACAGCTGATGCTCCTTCGGGACCTTCGAGCAGAGATGTCACGGGGCACACTTGCTCTCTTTGACTGCCTGGGCGCCCTACCTGTGCAATTCCCGTCGGATCTATGGGCCATGCAGCACGTCAGAGCCACTGCCCTTACAGGGCCGAGCGCACCTGCCTCTTCTCACACGGGGCCAGCTCGGCCGACTGGTGTCCCTGATACAGCTGGACGAGGCAACAGACCAAGAATAGGGCCGGTGCGACAACACCCGCCTGGACTTCGGCTCACTGTGCTGCGAGGACACCATCGCTTCTCAGTTGATTGCACCTTTGATAATGGTGCTATCGATACCTTAGTTTTTGACCTGCTGGTCCAGCACCATAACCAGGCCTCACTTCCCTCCACTTTTCTGCTTGTGCTCAGCGGCGCCCAGCCTCTCCGCATGGGCTACTATCAGGAAGTTGTTTTTGTGGTTCAGGACGGGAGTCAGACTGCCACGGTTTGGGATGGGCGCCACCTCGGTCAAGAGCTTCAGGTAAATCTGCACCCCACGACGCAGTCGACCTGCCAGGTTCTTGATGCAGATTGGACCAACAACGGTTGGCGCCTCTTTGTCAATGGGGTGCCCGAAGCCGCAGCCATGCGGCACATCTGAGTCGGCGATTACTTGCAACCTTGCAGCGGATCACAGTGCCCAGGTGTTGTTCCGTTAGGAAGTCTGCTTGCTCTTTGCCCCATGCTTCGGCCTTATGCTTGGCCGCTTGAGGTATCGTTGACAGGCAGTGGTTTCTCGGCGTCCCTTCGCAAGCGACGCAAGCAACTGGGCAGTCATCGCATGCCAGAGGGTACAGCTAGGGTCTATGGCCCGCATCATGGGGAAATCTTCCTTCAGATCGGCACAGGCCTTACTCCCACGGCTCTTCAGGTCGATACGGCGTTACACAATCTTGATGGCTTTCCTGAAGGTTTGAATGTCCTTGGCACCCCTACTCGGCACCCGCATGATGCTGATTTCGTTACCCGCTATCGCTATCGGCAGGATAGCACCGTGTTGACGCCAGCACCTGGCCACGCGGGGCACCTTCTCGTTCTGCTTGTGCACGCGGACACCGAAGTTTTGCCTGGTGTGCCGGCAAATCCCCGCATCATGCTATATCCGCAACGAGGTCTCCGACATGGGGATGTCCTCCAGCAAATTCCGGAACCCCACTTCGTTTTCGGGGAAGAGTCAGAAGAGGAACATGCGGTTTCAGACCCTGCTGGTCCTCCGCCGCCCGAACCCATCTTTGTTGAACCTGAGGAACCTATACCCGTCCTCGAGTCTGGAGACGAGCATGTCGGCACGGGAGCCAATCTCCCTCAAGTGACGGTGTCACAGCATGTTGCTTCCTCAAGTGCGCCCGCACATAATCTTGCAAGTACCGGAGGAACTAGCCTTGCTTGCTTGCCATCGCGGCGCGCACCGCGGCGTCAGATCATTTTTGATCAGCCAGCCAAGGGAGATTCATTGATTCCCCGGCGGCCATCCGGAGATGACGAAGTTCAGAAGCGCATGCGCACCAGACCCGCTGGTATACCCACCCCAGCAGGACGGCGATTTCTGACCGACAACACTCCCCTTCCTGTGGCAGAGAAGTCTGCGGCATTCGCAACCGAGGATGAAGGTCCGACAGTAAGCAGCCGTACGGCTCATAACCATGTTACCCGTCCTCAGGTTTTGCATTTGGACCAACTCCTGCCCGGCGAGACACCTCGAGAAGGACCTGGTAGACTTCTCCTTGGAGTCAGCAGCGACATGTTTTCATTCATTTTCTCTCAATTCAACTTGAGCCTCTTCTCCACTGATTGGAGTATCCTTCCCGAGCTCAAGCCTACCACCCGCAGGTTTCTGCAAGGCCTTCCGGTTCTTGACTCTTCCAGCCGTCCGGAAGCCATGCAGTACTACGTTGATGGCTCCTTTTTTGCGGGTTCAGACAAGTGTGGCTGGGCCATCATTGCTATCGGACTCCATGAGGGCCTATGGAAATGGGCAGGATATGTTGCTGTCAAAGCCGACACGGCGGGTTCCCATCACACACTCGGC